AGGGTTAGGTCCAACTCCATGTTTGCTATCATAAGACTTTTTAATTCAAGAAACTCATGAAACAAGTTGTCAGTAGTGGAGGTTTCAGAAGTAGTAGGTTAGAAACAGCAGAATTAGCAGAGACAAGATCAGGGTGTTTTCTAGGGCCTTTTGGACCTTTCCAATGAGCTGGATAACCAATAAGCTGGTAACAGTTTTCAACTGAATGATTGTAACAACAGTGAGAACATTTTTGTTTTGGTTTGTCTTTAGAGAAAGGTGGTTTGGTGTATTTGGTTTGGTACTGGGGTGCTTTGGCCAACATAGCAACATAGTCAATGGTTTTGCTTGAAATATGTAAAGACCTTTGACTTTCCTCTTGAAGAAGAAGTGAGTAAACCTTTGAAAGGGAAGGTAGGGGTGAAGACAACAAGAAATGACTGCGAATAGCAGAGTAGGTATCATTCAAGCCAATGAGAAATTTCATAACTGAGTCATCTTGTTGGGCAGTAACCATAGCATCAAGTATGTTGCAAGTACATGAGTTTAGAGCACCACAGTTACAACGAAAAACAGGTCTGTAGGTAACATACTCATCCCAAAGAGATTTGAAAGAGTTGTAATAATGAGTAACAGACATAGAACCCTGGTCCATAGTACTTAAGGCTTTTTCAAGTTGGAAAACCCTAGGACCACTAAATAATGCATATCTGGATTTCAATTCGTCCCAAACATCCTTAGCAACAGCAAATAACAACAATGATTGGCGAATTTCCTTGCTAACAGAATTTAAGAGCCAGGATAATACCAGATTATTCGCACGCACCCAAGCAAGAGAGTCAGAGGGATTATCAGAAGGATTAGGGACAAAAATTGTACCATCAACAAACCCTAGTTTGTTTTTCACACTGAGCGCCATAGAAACAGATCGTGACCATGAGACATAATTGTCGTCGGTGAACGATTCAGCAATGATTAAGGCTCCCGGATTGTCACTCGCATGGAGGAAATACGGAGATGCAGGATCGTCAGTCGGTGTCGGCATATCGGTGATGAACAACAACGATCAGTAGAAATCGGTCGGAGTGTGTGAGAATCGAACAATCGGTGACAGATCTAGTGCTAATCGACGGAAAAATAGAGGCGATCGAGGAGATCCCCAAATTTCAGAGAGAATCGGCGATAAGAGATTGCCGAAAAAAAAAATCGAAACAGACCGAAACAAATCGAAAAGAATTCGATTGAATCGTGTAAAAAATGCAGCGGAAATCAGTAGAGGATCGGAATAAACTGAGCGATCGATACCATGTAAATGTTCATATGAACTCAACGAGAGAGAGAATGAAGAACACGAGAGGAAAGCTTCATTATCAGAAAGTGAAAAGTGGAGAATGAAAAGTTGAGTTACAATTAGGGTTAGGTACCCTTTTATATGGAGGACTAATGCTAAGGGTACAAATGATAAAACATAAAGTACAAGTAAACCTAACTACAATAAAATTAATGCATACAATTAAACCTAACTACATAAGATCTAAAAGCATACAAGTAAACCTAACTACATATAATCTATTAGATGGAGTTGTATCTGTTCTATGGTATGTTTAAGAGAAAGTAGAGCTGCATAAGCTGCCATTACAAGCAGTTTTATTCCTTTTTTTTTTTTTTTCAGATCAGAACTTGGAAATTCATGCAGAGAAACTGGTGAAAATGTTTTTGATAAAGTTAAGATGTGTGTTTGTGTGATTATAATTGTCTTGTTTGTTATGACATAGAAATAAATTCTGTTGGGACAGAGAATTGTATGACCCAGCAATTATTGACTAGACATTTTCAAACTTCTCTAAATTTCGTACATAATTTATTCACTTTCATATATGAGATCCCTTTCAAATTTATTATCTTTTCCAACAACAGACTAATCTTCACAATTTTATTTTATGGTTTGAGCAGACTTGTTTAAAAATATTAATGTTTTATGAACAAAATATTGTAACTCATTTTCGTGAACTAAGAAGATACACGTGTTACGGACGTGATATTGTCTTTTTTTAAAAAAAAATATATATTTTTGTTATTAGATTCATATCTAATGGTATAATATAATTTTCTTTCCAATAGTTTAACGTATATTTTATTATAAACAATAATAAATGTATTGAATAATGAATATAATATTTATTTCATTAACCGAACTCTTTAATGAATAAAATTAAATTATAAAAAAAAACATTGAGTTGAAAACTCAAAATAAAACTAATATTTTTTAGTGAATTTTAAATGCTAAAGAAATTTATGTCGCCATATGTTAAGGTAAGGGTAAAGCTGTCTTTTTAAGTGGTAAAATGAATAAGAACTAAACACTTCTACAAAACATGGTTATTTTTTTATCTTTTGTATTTGTACTTGGCTAAAAAGCCAACTGACTGGTTCAAAATGTCTAGTCATATGCTTGTGTTGTGGATGGGTCTCCAAACTATTCAGGGGTTGCACACAACTCGATCTCAACCTAACTCCAACTACAGTCGAATTTGACTCAGTCAGCTCAATAGTATAAAATAGTCAAACTCGGTTTGCTAGTTAAAACCTAGTGAGCTAGACGAGTCACTTGACTAGTTATTTAACTCGTATTGTTGTCTAACAATAGTATATTAGTACGTCATGCCAAAAATTGAAACTGAAACTCATCACTTAATTCACTTTTCATATTACATTCCTTAGTTCTAATGGGGCTACAAATGTTGTCTTTGCCGAGTTAGGATCTAACTTTTTTGTCACTCTTGAGCTCGACAAATCACCTAATATCTCGATCTGACTCATGAAAAAATGAACTTCCTCAAGATTGACTCGATTCTTAGAAGTGTTTGAACTGGATTCCATTCTCAACGACTTAACTTATGTAAAACTTGATCCTTACAAACATTGGCTCCAACAAATGTTCGGCGAAAATCAAATTCCAACACCACCATATTCTAAGAGAATTTCACTGATAATTTCAATTGATATTTTTTTTTTTAAAAAAAAAGGTTAAAAATTGGGATGTATATTTCAATGGAAATTTCAAAAATAATAAATTGTTGAAAACAACTGTTACTTGAATCATTAAATTCTAACTAAAATTCCAAGAAAAATTTAATTCCTAGGAAAGATATCAATACTGCTATAAAACTAACTGGTTGGTTTCCTTATGGAACCTACACCCAATTAAATCAGTTGTAACTTTTTTATTATAAAAAAGATGTCAAACAAAACAATTGTATTAGGCGAATATCTAGTTTTAAATTTGGAGAATATAACTGCCCGACGTTTAATTGATTTAGCAGTCGTGACATACATTTATATTCAAATTTAAAAATAGCTTTTTGTAACCAATAACCAAATTTAATTGATGCAATCCGTGCATTATCAGCTTTTGATATGCATATTTTGTCAAACCATCACAAATATTCAATAGACTAAATTTAAATAGCCGCCCAACTTTTTTGAAAATAAAAAGTAACAAACTCCTCATTTTAAGGACAATATTTAAAAAAATATTAAAAAAATACTATAAATGGCATATAAATAATGTTAACCAGTTTTGACCAAGAATTGACTTATTATTCTTGATAAATGATAATTCTTTTTATATATATAGATATCCATCGGAACTGTTCTTCAAACAAAACTGTGATATTAAAATATCCATAAGAATTTCTGTTAGCATTTCTTTTTTCTATTTTCTATTAAATTTGTTATTTTTGGAGTAAGCCCACAAATTACATAGGAGACCCAAAGCCCAAAGGAAAATGACCGCAATAAACGCTGGCCTGGAAAATGTTGGAGTCGTATATATTTCTAACGATGCATTTCTGAGGTCTATATATTAGATATCTTTCCTTATATATTAATTTTTAATTCAAAAAGTGTTGAACTTAAGTGACAGATCTGACACGACGAAAATCTATGCTTCGTGATGTTTTTATATTATTTTTGCTTTGAGTTAGGTTTGATATTAGACATGGCTTTTATCGTATACTAGTACAACACCCGTGTATTACACGGGTGCTTGCTATTTTTTTTCTTAAAATCTAAAATTAATGAGAAAAAGTAGTTTGAAAATTTAAATACCTTTTATAAAAATATATATTATTATATATTTATTATGATACTTTTTATTTGTGCGACTTACTTGTGATATATTATACTAATTTTTTTAACTTACAATTATAACTACATTAAATATAAATATATCAATTGAGAAATAATTTTATTTTTTTAATGAATTTTAATAAATATTATTATTTTTTATTATTATAAAGATAAATATAATTTATTTATTTCGTATATACAATGTGGATGTCAAATCGAAGATCATCAAAAGATGATTAATTTGATATATTATATATGTAAATCCGATAAGAAATACAAAAGTTATCAACTTTTAAAATACATTTATAATTCAATTCCTTATTGAAAGAAACAAATCAAAATTCAACTTAGTATCTCACTATGTAAAATTACAAAGAATTAAAGGGTTATATTAGTAAAAAAGATATTAAAATACCTAAGTTAGTTAAATAATATTATGGAATACCCGAACTTAGATTATTAATTATTAATATATCAATATTATTTGTCCAAACCTAATTACGAAGCATGATTCTTCGCCAAATAGGATTCCGAAGCACCAGAAACAGCCACGTAGGCTCAGCGCATTCGGGAATTATATATAGGGAGGATTTCTTAACTCAAAACTTGTGTTGTACACGGGTATTGTACTAGTTGATCTATTATTGCAATAACATCGTCTTGTGTTTTAGGATAAGACATAGGTTTAGTAGTCGAAATTTGAAACCACTCCAACACTATCAAGCATGGGCTTGAAATTTGAAAACACTCGAGCTCCAACCTCCAGCAATGACAGACAAGTTAGATCCTGTGTTGACAAGGTTACTGCTGGATGCAATCTGTCTCGTTTGCAGCCTTAGTTGTGCATTACCAGCATCTTTTTTTTTTTTTAATAATGAAGCTAAAAGTATCTATACAGAGGCATCACTCTTATGAGATTCATAACCGGCTCGGCACTTATTTCCTGTGTCAAAACAAAACTTTCGATCAAAAACCAAATTTAGTGGCAATTCGATAACAGAGCCAAAGTAAGTTCATGCCAAAACTGTCAGCAAAACATAGATAGAAGGAATGTGTTCGTGTCGATTGAGGCAAACCAACTCTCTGGCTCGCCTTCAAGCACTTTATTCTGTTTTCCATCTTTATTTTCCTTTAAAACAGGGATGGAGTTATTTACTGAAGCACTTTATTGAGGTTTAGTCTAATTACAGAAGAAAAAAAAAAACATTTTCTTTTCAAACTTGAAAGTCAACTAAAAATTCTTTCTCAAAAAGTATGTGGTACAGTAGTACCTTGAAGAGAGGTTCCGTATTCTTGTAACTGTAACATAAATCCGTAATTTGGAGATGCCACTGCTCTTTTCGACTTCACGTACCCCATAGCTTCAGACAAGCTTTTCCCGTTTTTAAACATCAGATAAGCCACGACAATCGTCACACTACACGGTACATTGATTAAGAAACCAGTTTACACGAAGCACAAGAAATAAGAATTGTAAGGGAAACAAACGAAAAAAAAAAAAATGCTTTCAGGACAGCATGAACAGTAAAATAATATCGAGTTTGGCAACTTTCACTTAACAACAATCTTTACATTACAATCTAGCATCAAAATCATTGTAAACCTAAAACAACATAGTATAATAGAGAGAAGAAATATTTTCTTTGTTGAGTAGAAGTTAAATAAGAGTCATGCTTCCGACTTCATGTTACTCCTACACTTGCGATTTTCAAATTTAAAAAGCACATACGTACCGAAGTTTTGAAATTTCCTATATCGGCATGAATTCCCATTTTATAATACTACTTGACGGTGATGATTCACTAAATCGCAAAAAGCTAGTGACTGTAAATTGGGGAAAAACCTTCTCGATCTTCCAGCAAAACAGTGAACCAAAACAGCACCTCCTCTTGCTCGAGCTTCGTCAATAAATTTGAAGCACTCGTCAAAATATTGAGTTATATTCGCATCTGCTTTATCAGGCACTGTTACAATTCAGAGACAATATAAAATTAAAGAGTCAACCCATTAGGACCAACAACTCAAGACCAGTTTTCCATCAAGCCCAACATACAAGCCCAAATGGATTCCATTCTAAAACCAATTGGCAATATAGGGAGTAGCCCACCAAACTTCTATATTGACTTGGAACTTTTAAATTTTCCGATGTGGGATTGCGTTTGCACACCCAACACGGTCTACCAAATAACCAAATCAATTAGTTGATCTCCTCTCATTTTGCTGCAGCATTATAATAATTAGAGAAAGCCTACGAAATTAAAATTAAAAATCAAATAAACTCCGGATGAAAAACTATAATCATTCAAATGATAGTTACTCATTACGTCGAAATTTGTTTCCAAAAACAATCAAACCGAAGTAAATGATGCAAAATAGAAAACCAGGTAAAAAAAAAATGACCTTGAATAGTTTTGTACACAAAATCATTAGGATGAGACTGGGCAAGCGAGCTCGTGATGCTCAAAATATGCGTGACTTTTAAGCTTTTCAAAGTGCTCTTCATATTAGCAGCTCCTAAGGAACCTAAATAAAGACCCTGAAAATATACAAAATCAGAAATAGCTCTTGATTAACTTAAAGTTCATTTTAAGATTGAATATACCTCTTCTATTCGGCATGGGGTATTGTCCACTTTGAAAATTTCTCTGGCTTTAAGGACTTTCAGTATTGCCGCCATGCGTTCGTTAAACCCATCATCCATTTTGTACCAAGAAAACTTGTGAACCTACACAAATTCATGAACAAGTCATACAAAATTTTTAATTGTTACATAACTATTGACAAAATTGCACTTTTAGTCTTATAGCACTGTAGTATTTTTAGTCTCAAGATTTCAGCTTTTTGTCTTTTGATCCTGTAATTTAGTATTTTGCTGCAATTTCAGTCTTTTTCGACTGAAATTGCAACAAAATTTAAAGTTAGAGACTTAAATTGTTAATAAAAATCCAAATTTTAAATTTTGTTGCATTTTCATTCCCAATAGAACTGCGTTGAATTTTATAATCACATAACCAAATAGTAAAAATGTTCAATTCTTAGGACTAAAACGCCGCTTGATCAAACCGCAAAACTAAAATCGCAATTTCGCCCATAACTATTACATGCAAAAACTCAATCCCCTGTTAGAAAGTATATTGAAAAATGAAACCACAGCATAAAGATTAATTTTTTTTTTTATTTTTTTTCCTTCATATTTCCAACTAAAAACGCATACCTAGAGAGCAATTATGCAGACAAGGAACTGTTGAAACCCGCAAGGTGCAGAGGCCACGTTATGAAGAGCCCATCTGCTTAATTAAAACAATTCACAATAAAATTGAGATTTTTTTCACGGACAACGGATGACGTTTGGTAAAGATTGAAGCTTTTTCAAGAAACAAAACGATGAAATAGGCTTTTTTTTAGCAGATTTTCAAGATTCTCACATTGCATCACAGCGAGGATTAGTGTAGAAAGTTGAGAGGCAAAGAGGGTAAAGTCAATAAAGGAGAGCATAGCCTTCAATTGAGGCAATAATGAAAGAAAGATTTATGGGGGATTGAATGAGAAAGAGTTGGATTTTGCGGGTGACTTTCGCAAGGTTCTCTTCTCTCAAAGGGATATCTCGAAACTATCTCATGTAGCGTTTGGGGGGAAATTTTGACCCAAATCTCTTGTCCGAGGATTCTTTAATGATTTTTATTTTTAAATATTAATAATCTTGATGTATCTAACTTGATTTTTGTAAATTTTTGTTAAAAAAAATAAAAAAAATGAGATAATCATCTGACTATTTATTTTTTTATTTGTAGTTTAAATAATTTTTTGTTAAAAAAAAAATAAAATTAGGCATATTTCTCGTCTTTTATTTGTGTCGGCTTATTTTCGTAATCTGTCCACTACACTTGTTGTAATACCCCCAACAAGTAGTATTAGAGCCGAAGGTTCATCCTAAGCTCATTCGGAGAGGAGGGCACTGCATTCGAGTCCGAGATGTCCAAGGAGGGTCAAGGGCGCATCATCCTGATCTGCATTCTTTTAAGGACGGTGATGTCGAACGTCAGACGCCCGGTGGAGATCTTTGATGGGACCGGTCATTTCTGCATGTGGCAAGGCGAGGTGTTGGATTGTCTATTTCAGCAAGGCGTCGACATTGCCATTGAAGAAGAAAACCCAACCGACGTGGAAGAGAATGATTGGAAGAATATCAACCGCTTAGCATGTGGAACAATCCGTTCTTGCTTGTCGAGGGAGCAGAAGTACGCTTTCAAGAATGAGAACTCTGTGGAAGGCTTTGGAGGATAAATTTCTGAAGAAAATAGGCCAGAATAAGCTCATCATGAAGAAGCGATTATTCCGATTTGAATACTGGCATGGCACATCGATGAATGACCACGTCACTGCATTCAGTCAATTGGTTGCGTAGAGAAGATTTGGCTCTAATGTTGTTATCATCACTTCCGAATGACTTCGAGTAATTGGAGCTATCTTGCTTCATGGGAAGGACGATGTAACTCTTGCAGTGGTCAATTCTGCTATGTATAGCTATGAGTTGAGGAAGAAGAACAAACAAAGAGACGAAGAATGCAGCAACAGAAGATGAACGCTGGTTGCAAGAGGTCGGTCGATGAGTCAACAGAAGAATGAACGAGGAAGATCACGTTCCAAAGCCAAGCTTGAAAAAGACGAGTGTGCTTTCTACCATGAGAAGGGACACTGGAAGAAAGACTGTCCTAGGTTGAAGAAGAATGGCAAATATCCTCAAGATGCATATGTTACTGAGGGTGGAAGTGAAGACTCAGAATTTTCACTTGTGGTTTCACCTTCATCATCTCATCCAGACAAATGGATTTTGGATTCAGGATGCACCTACCATATGTCTCCCTAAGGGAGTGGTTCTTCAATTTTCAAGAGAACCAATGAAGGGTTGTCTATATGGGTAATGATAATGCATGTAAGACAATTGGGATAGGTTCATCCGTTTGAAGAATCGCGATGGTTCCACCAGAGTTTTGACGGATGTTCGGTATGTGTCGAGTTTGAAGAAAAATCTCATCTCATTGGGAGCCTTGGAATCCAAAGGCTTGGTAGTGACTTTGCGAGATAGAGTTATGAAGGCTACATCCGGCTCGCTCGTGGCGATAAAAGGCATCAGGAGTAATAATTTGTATTACTATTAAGGTGATACAGTTGTTGGGACAGTAACAGTAGCAGATTCCATCAATAAGGACTCTGAAGCAGTTACGTTGTGGCATATAGGTTGGGACATGCTGGTGAAAAATCCTTGCAAACATTGGCAAAACGGAAAGGAATCTGAAATCTACAGAACATACATGATCACAAAAATCATTCATCTTGCTGCTATAAACACACATCGAAAAAATATACATAATATATACAGAAGATATACAAAAAATATATAAGTCCAAAAATATACGAAATAAACCTGAAAATTTTATCTTTTTGTAATCCTTTTTTGTGTACTTTTTGTGTTATTACATTTCGTGTTTTTTTTTGTATATTTATAGTATATTTTCTGGTTTAATACATGCAACATACGCAATCAGACTTATATATCGAAGATATACTTATTATGTACAGACGACATAAGATAAATCAATCTTGTCATTATATACAAAATATATACATAAGTTATACAGAAAACATATTAGTCTGTCAATTATGCTTACGAGAGTATATACATAAAATATTTTCCTCTTCTTCACGATCTCGACGTTTTGACCTCGCTCAGCCTCTTCATCTTCTTCTTCTTCTTCTTCTCCTTCTCCACGGTCGATTTTTAGATCGCCGATTTTTTTCGGGCGGCCACGTTGCTGCCTTTTCTACCCTCATTGTTTTTGGTTCACACTATGCTTGCACAGAACAAACAAATGGCTGCTCCTCCCTTTTTGCCTATGTTCACACATTGGTCCTTTTCTTTCAAGACAAAAAATGAAAATCACCAACCTGTTTCGATTCTTCTTACCCACATAAAAAACGCAACGATTAGAAAAAAAATAAAGTGAGGAGAGAGAAGAAGGAGAGAGAGAGAGAGAGAGAGAGAGAGAGAGAGAGAGAGAGGGAGAAAGTGTCGTGGAATGTTGGTTTGGAAGGTGATAAGTCTACCTTTAATTAAGCTGAATATTAATTGCATATTTCAAGTAATCATTTTTTATAAATCTGGTAATTTTGCAATAAAAGATGATATGTCTTGTACCGTGTGCAATTTCCTCATGTTTTAGGTCAGGTAGGATAGTTGGGTTTGGGCCAACTGGAAAAAAATGGAGATTGAGCCTATACAAGAAATAAACAAAATGGAGGAAATGAGTTTAGAGAAGGGAAGACAAATGAGCCAAGTGAATGCGTGTCAGGGTGCATGAGATATGTTTTGGCCGAGAAATTATATATTGGGTTGTCAAATAAAAGAGAGTGGTGTTATGTATGGTTTTACGATGGGCATCGCAAAGAGCTTTATAGACTAACTACAGGGTAACCTTTTATTCGACTTATTAACATTTCACCATATTCTAGCTATATTTATATTTATATCATTTAATCCTAAGTAATTTCTTTATTCTGAGTCGAGTCATCTAATAAGTCAAGTTACATCTCTTCGCACAGTAAGATCATTTAAGCACAAACATTGTTTCAAATCATTACACAAACTACTATTCAAGGTAAGGATTTTCTACACTCTTATTCGCTTTAATCGCATGATATTTTTATGGTTGTATGTACATGTGGCACATGCCTTTCTGCCAATATATATATATAGGGTTAAGATAATCAGATGGAGTAGCCAAAGAAAAGAAAGGTGTTGGGAGATGGGTGTGGGGGTGGGGGGAGGGGGGCGTTAAATGAGAAGGATGAAGACTTTGTTAGTGTTATATACTGAAAACTTGGCTTTGGATGACATTACACCTTTACCCTTTATGAATGAGAAACATGTTATATTAAACAAGTTCTATGTTCTGTTGTTTTGCATTAGATAGTGTGGGTCGTCATCGGGTGAACCAAAGATCATACTATCAGTTACTCGCGAAACAAGAATAAGTGGTTCACAACCCAGATGGACATGAACACCCCATCGTGAACGGTTGTAGTGTCAACCGTACAATTTGTCTTGAATGATTAGTTGCACTAGTACATTTATGTATTGAACAGGATCCCAGAGAGGAGCAGTTCGTTTTATACTGATCATCGTAAACGAACTAGGCCTCGGTTAATTACTGCGTACTCTTAACCCGCAATATATTAAACATGCATATATGTGTAGTACTTATTACTTTGATTCACATGAGTGAGACTTAGTGAACTGGCCAATAGACCCGCTGTCTTGGGTAATTTTTTTGCATATAGGATGTGCTGTTAGGATATTTACGGTCACCGTGTGCGTTAGTTTGATGATGTCCCCGGAGTGAGTTAATGAAGGATTATTATGCTAAACCCTGCAGGTGGATTAAATTCTGGCATAGTAAAAATGTGATGAACGAGCGCTAGATTCGGTGAAATAATAATAAACTAATTAATTCTTGATTGTCAGTAATCGAATTAGTTAATGGAAATTATATCTTAAACATGAGGAGATAAATAGAGTAATTATTATTAGAGTCTCAATTGTAAGTTAGGCTAGGAAAAGGGAGTGCAATAATATTATGTTGGTGGCCCATTTAATATTATTTAATTAATAAAAATAAGTGGTTTGGTCTACAAATATTTTAA